TACTAACTATATTGTGAATCATATTGTTAGTGTGAAAGAATTTTTATCAATCAATCCATCCATCCCTAGTCCCACCATCACCACAGTTAACCATTGGCAACTCAACAATATCCCTTACATGGCCTAAAATAACAAAAACAGCCCAGCATTCTCCAGCTCATCCTTTCCTCACGCTCCAAGTTCTCTTCCATCTGTCTCTTCTCTCCTATTCAATCTGCCTACCGACAGCCTCTGTGACAGCCATCAATCACTCTCCATCCCAAGCGCAGCTCGAGGGGGAGCATTTCCCCTGACACAGCATGAAGACAACATGGCCACTGTTTAAAGAGGGCGCAGCCTCCTCCCCCACCCCCAGGAGAATAAAAGAGAACAGACCTGACGCCACCGTCCCGACCACAGCTGGGTACAAAAGGCAAGGAGACATCACCAATCACACAACAACTTCAAAATACGACGCTCTCAACACTACGGTAGATCCAGCTATGCCAAAAATGCAGCTAATTTTCAGATGACGGATAAGGTTTCATGTTTCACTGTACGGCAGCATCCTTTCAGATTAGAGCGTCTAGACAGAAGAGCAAGGGTTTGATTTTTAGACTCGCTGCGTATGACCTCTGACCTGTGGCCCCCTCGCTAAAGCTTGCGGCTAGACAACAGCAGCCATATTTTATTGGTTGAAGGCAAAAGCTGGATGTTTCAGACTAAGAGAAACACCATTCCCAAGTAAACTGCTAGAAACACAGAGAGAAATGGCAAATACAGATGCCACAATTCGTGGTTCGTGTTGTAACTGTAAATAAGCAATGCTGGTGGTTTCATCAAAACATATTATGGTTTGGTTTAGGTTACCTTAAGTTAGGAATTGTCAATAACTCCTTAACTTGTAAGTAACTTCATGTCATTGTAAATGGTTATCTGTCTAAATATCCATTTTAAAAAGATCGGTTAGAAAATATGCATCAATAATAAGAGACTAAAGCTGCAGTTTTGGTCTAAGGGGTACACCATTCCTAAGTGTGCTATTAGGAGCAGTCAGAGAACTCACAATAATCAGGGTTTTTGCAGGTTTCACCAAGTCAAGTTTAAGACTTTAAGACCTTTTTAAGGCCATCAATAATTAAATATTACATTTCCATAGAGCTTAATGCTAAGGATTTTTCGATGGCCCAGCAGATTTTTTTTTTTTACTTGCCCCCTCAAAAAGTTATTTCTTAGCCACATATTTAAAATAACGTTTCAAAACAAGCAGACCCTAGTTGTGTACATACTAAAACTCTTTAAAAATAAAAACTTAAACAACAAACTGTTAAAGTATTAATCATAAATAGAGTTTTGATCAAAGATTTATTGAGATGAATTGTTGGTTATTGCATATGTGCTAAATGGATTGGGCAGCTTTACATAAACAAATTAAATTTAAGACCCGTTTAAATGATTTAAGACAAACCTACAAGACAATATTTAGTGAATTTAAGACTTTAAGGCCTAAAGTTTAGTTTTTGAAATTTCAGACATTAAGACCCCGATAATGGATTTTAATTATAACTAGTGCACTTATTACATTCTTATGTTAATCAATTTGCTTTTGTTAGATTTGTTCACTTCATGCCATTGCAAACAGCCATCTGCCTAAAAGTCTATTTCAAAAAGTGCAGTTTCAAAACATTTATCGATAAAAAGCTGGAGATTTTGATCTAAGAGTCATACCATTCCTACGTAACCTCTTGGGAATTCACTCAAAGCAAAGATGCCATAATGTTTTATTTTAATTTTAATAGCAACTAAACCAAAGTTTTTTTTTTCATGTTTTACAGTAATGTCATCCAAAATAAAACAGACTAGTCTTGGTTTAACCTGACAACAATGCTTTTGTTAGAATTTTTTTGTAACTTTGTCAATGCAATTAAGCATCTACCTTGTACAAATCCATAAAAAGTGCAATTGTGAAGTTTATATTAAAAGAGTCAGATCTTAATGCTTAAAATTCTGGCCCAAGAATTACACTATTCATACATGCTTTAAATGGAAGACAGAAAAAAACTATTGTAGATAGGCTATACACTTAAGGTATCATGTATGTTAACCAAAAGTTGGACTCATTGAACATTTATCCACAGACTGCTAAAAGCCATACATCACATATGACTCAACTGGTAGTTGAGTCATACGTGATATATGGCTTTTAGCAATCAGTGGATGAATAACTGATGTAACATTGCTTGAGGCAAAAATGGCATCAAAATGAACAAACATTTCCCTAAAAATTTAAGATAAGAGGGTAAAAATAGCCCTTTCACAGTTAAACTAAATTATTGTTGCGACTGAAGTAAACTAAACTATATTGTTCAGCACAAAAGGTGAACCATTGTTGTTTTACTTTGCTTCATGAATAAAAATTTACTAAAATGTGTCAATTTGAGATGAATCTCATTTAAATCTGCACACTCTGCATCAGCATCTTTTTGGGTTTCTTTGCAGCACTGAGGTTTAATAACCAAGCACAGGTGATTCTGTTGAGCTTTTCAACACACAGTAGCCAATCAAAGGTGTTACATTGTTCACCGCTAAAAAGGCAGTTTTGTTTGCAAATGGTAACTCAATTCTCTTATCATAAAAACAAAGGGCTGAAACTACTTAAGAGAATCCATGATTAAAACAGGATTTTTGCAGAACTTGCACTAGACCCTTATCGTGAACAGATATGTTTTTTTATGTGTAGCCAGCCAGAGTATGTGGGGTTTGTCCAAAAACAAAAAAGTGCACAGAAAAATAAACTAAAACCATGTTTCTGTACGTGTTTTGTAGTCAGTCACACAAAAATATACAACACTAGAAAATTCTTAATACACACTTAGTTAAAAAAAATACAGTAAATGATATCCAAATTAATATCTAAGACAGTCGTATCCCTTTTAACTGGGAAAAACACATCAATTTTATGAATCCTGAAATGTGGATCTCTTTAAAAGATGACGTCAGTAGTAAGCTCCAATAATCCAGGCAGCTCTTAACTTTTATTTATTTGTCTTTTTTGTTCGATTAATTAATAAATTCAAGCTAGTGTAAGAACATTTACCCACAAATCCCTTTTAAATAGCACACTTTTAAAGTTTCTCTCCTAAAAGCGCAAGGTTTTTGTCCAAGAATTGCACCTTTTCTAGATAAGGTATTAAAAGCACACAGAGAAAGTACAGGGATGTTCCAATTTAAGACTTAAATGTTAATATTAGCTATAACAAAGATTTTTTTTCACCACTTAAAATCTCATTTAGGTTATACAAAATAGAACTGACTGGGAGCAACTTTCCTAAAATGTTTTCAGTGGATTTGTTAAAAACTTCTTAGTATTCTGTATACAAATCCAATAGAAAAGTGCAAATTCAAAGTGTGATCAAGTGTCTTATGCTGGAAGTTTTGGCCTGACCACCACTTCTTAATAAATGATCACCAACAGATATAGAAATGACAAGAACAATTTTGTCACAGTAAGTTTTACATTTTTAAATACCAATTAAAGATGTGCAATATGATGAAATGCATCACATGGACAAAAAAGGTATATAGTTTTATTTTATGCTCTATTGTCACAAAAAAATATTGGTTTATGCCAATACTTATTTTTATAATTTATTTGAGCGCAATATTACATGCCATTACGAGAAGGTTTTTGAAAGCTCAATAATTGCACAATCTAGCAATATTTTTTTATTCTTATTTTGGACCGTTTGGATTGTTTTTAAAAAGAGTTTAATTTTTTTTTAAACATTTCATTTACAAACAATGGCCCTGATACTAAACAAAGTAAAAAATATCACATGGGTTTTGAAAAATTAAAAGCTGCTTTTATTCTAGCCAAAATAAAACAAGTAAGACTTTCTCCAAAAGAAAACATATTTTTAGACATACTGTGAAATTCCCTTGCTCTGTTAAACATCATTTAGAAAATATTTAAGAGAGAAAAAATGTCAAAGGAGGGCTAATAATCCTGATGACTCAAAATTATTAGCCCCTTTAAGCTTTGTTTTTTCGATAGTCTACAGAACAAACCATCATTATACAATAACTTGCCGAATTACCCTAACCTAGTTAACCTAATTAACATAGTTAAGCCTTTAAATATCACTTTAAGCTGTGTATAAAAGTAACTCGAAAATATCTATAAAAATATTATTTACTGTTATCATGGCATGGCAAAGATAAAATAACTCAGTGATTAGAAATGAGTTATTAAAACTATTATGTTTACAAATGTGTAAAAAAAATCTTCTCTCCGTTAAACAGAAATTGAGGAAAAGAATTAACAAGGGGGGCTAATAATTCTAACTTCAATGTTGTATGTGTGTGTATTTATATATATATATATATATATATATATATATATATATATATATATATATATATATATATATATATATATATATTATTTTTATTATTTTTTAAAATGTTGCATACCACTTATCTCTACCACTACTATCAAACATTCCTCAATTATTACATTCTCATTTGTGCTGTGCAAAACCAAGAATGATAGGTCATGGTGCATCATCTTGCCTAAAAATATTTGTGTTAGACTTGCTAGTAACCACATGTCATTGTAAAGGGCATCTGTGTACAAATCCATTTTAAGAAGTGCAGTGCAAAGCAATTTTTTAAATATCTATCAATAATAAGAGCTTTCCTGGCTTCAATCTCTGGTCACACAGATCTTGATTTCCAATCAGACAAACATCATCATCATGTACACGACAAAACTGCTCATTCCAGCCACGCACCATCTTCATCTAGAAACAGTGACGGATCCATGGAAAATCCTGCTGACATCATTGCTATTGTCAGGATGATTACTACATCCTTCATACACCACACTGTACAGGTTTTCTTATTATACAACACAGACACTCCTCCAGAGAGGCAGGCACAAGAAAGGCAACTTTGTCCTTGAATCTGCATACGTCATGTTATAACATCATATATAACAGTCTATGTTCTCATATACTCACATAATCATGGAAAGCCTTGGCTTCGCTTGAATGTTCACATGTGTCTCTCCTCTCTGGAGCTGCACAGTAGAGGTCCCAAAAAACACTGGAATAACAAAAAGAAATGATTGAATAAATCTGCACATGCATACACAATAGAATATTCATGCTACAAATGAAAATCATTTACAGCACTCAGTTATGCTGGTTATTGATTCAGATCTCATTTTGGTTTTATTTTGTTTAGTGAATATAAATGCTATTTATATTTTTTAAAAATTAACAGCGAACATTTGTTTTTAATTTCACATTACAAACAGAAACACCTCTCTATTACAAATTTACATACAAGACCACATGTAATACAGAAATCAGATTTATTCATGACTTTATTAATCAATATCGAATCAACCACATTTAAAAAAAGAAAAAAGAAAAAAAAAAAAAAAAAACATATTCCAGGGCACAAAAAAATCCACTTCTTCAAAATGTCTTTATCTGTGTTTAACAGTAAGATTAAAATCTTAAACAGGTTTGAAACAACTGAAAGGAGCCCCGTTACCAAAATCTTTCTACACACTGCCTGGTGGGCTATTTACTTCCTTAGATTATGATAAAGATATTTTTTCTTTTTTTCTATGATTACTGACATGTGCAGGAACCACCAAAATTAAATACAGCATCCTAACCACACAGAACCTAAAAGGTACACTTTCAGATTTGAGCTCACAAAAAACTCTTTTGTTTATTAAAACACAGACTACATATACAATTATTATAATCACTTTCACCAGTGTTTTCTGAAAATTCAAAGGGTCTTCTTTAAAATTAAACCAAACTTTCGCATTCACACCTCTGCATGTGGTTTTGGGAAGATTTAAATTTGGGTAGGCAAAATCCATGCGGAAACCCCAAAATAGCACTTGACTTTATGAAGTTAAAAGAGGTCAAGGGTGAGAAAATAATGACAATTCTTTCTGTTTGGGTGAAATATGAATTTGTGTCTTCTCTACACCAGAGCTAAATTTGTTAAAATATTATATATAACTACTCTGTAGCATATTAGAACGCTTTTTATAGCTGCAAATAAAAAGACCTGAAACAAGGTTCACTTAATATCTTTTTTGGGTATTTAAAAATAAATTCTGAAATAAAAACTTTAAAAAGGCATATGATACAATTGAGGTTATTTGAAAATAAATATATAGCCTATAACTAATGCCATTATATCTTCTTTATTTAGTAAATGTATGTTTTTGTTTTATTTAATAAATAAATAATGTATTTTCTATTTGGGCTAATAAATTTATATTCGGGCTACCAAAAACTGAAGAGTGCCTGTCCAAAGGCTACCAGGAATTTAGAAATTTTGCGAGCCCTGTATTCATTATTTTTTTGCCCTGTTCAAACTGTATGAAGTTTGTCTGTATGATTGTTTTCAATTATCCATGTGATACAAAGGCTTTGTGTGAGAACAATGAGCAACAGAATTTAGTCAAGTATGTTTCTCACATAAAATATGGTCTGAATGCTTGTTCAGTTAACAGCACACACACTGGATATATACTTTTTTTTGTCCTTATTCAAGCTTTGGTGACCAGTATTAACCACATGAAAGAGATTGACCAAACTTTTCATTTCAGTGTCTCAAGGAGTAAAGACAGTCATGGCTTGCAAGGACAGGAGGGTTAGTAAAAAAAACAGAATTCTAATTTTGGCTAATTTTCAGAAGACAAAATTCTCTCAAAATACTCACCACCACCAGGAATGCAGGAACCCAGGGGGGTCTCCCAGCGTGATGTTCTTTTCCCATCGAATCTACAATGAATTAGAAACATATATAAATAGTTCTGTTTGATTTGTGTAAAGAACTGAAAAACTATTTGAATTTTAAAGAACGTCTAAAAGTATGGTTCTAGAATGAGCTTCTTACCTCTGACAGGAAAGTCTGAGCAGATTTCTGAGCACCAATGTGTAACAAATACTCATAAACATACAAAGCTAACCTGTAATAAAACAAAATATTAAGTTATTAAACAACAACAGAAAGTCACACTTTACAATAAGGTTCCATTAGTTCATGTATATAGTAATATAACTATACTTGTGCAGCATTTATTAGTCATAGTTCAATATTTACCAATGCCATATTAAAAAAATAAATTTACGCTAGATAGCATTAATTAATGCACTAACTTAACTTTGTTTACATTAATGCTAACAAAGATAAATAATCTAATAAATATATTGTTTATTGTTTGTTCGTGTTAGTAAATACATTAACATTAACAAATTCAACCTTTTTGTAAAGTGTTGATCAAAAAAACAAACAAACAGATCATGTTGATTGGGACAAAATTAAAAAGCACTGTGCCACACTCTTCTCAAACAATGTTTATATTAAAAATGGAACGGATTATTAATAAAATACCAACCAAAAACAAGCTAAATATCCGCTAATTACATTGGTCATGTATTTACAATTTTTAAAGAGCTCTAAAAACCCAAATTGACCAAGTCTGCACCTCAGGAACATAGAAAAAGCATAAAAACTAAACAAAAGACGGGACCCACTCCCCTCCAACACTGGCGTCTGAGGCAAAATGAAACAAGGAACACAGAAGCGCCCGTCCCGCAAGCAGAAACTATCCTAAACGGCTACCTTAAAATGCATGTAAATTTGCTTTAAAAGCCACGGTTTCGTTCTGGGTCGCAACACGATGGCCAGAGGCGAAAGCTCTGTGCCATAGGGGGACCCCAGAATGGCGCACGGACGGACACTTTCGATTCAACGCTTACGACAAGCCTATAGCAGCAGCATACGCTCCATATGCAGCCGTGCCTATACTGCCCTAACAATAGGCTACATCCAACACAATAACACACGCACGACGGGCGACGTTCAAAAAAACCTTACTTTTCCCGAGCTTGACCATCCGATGGCACGACGGAGCTTTTGCCTTTAGGAAACATGTTTTTGTATGTGCACGGGAGAGTCGCCCGCGTTCCCTTTTCCTCTATTTTCGACAATTCATCTGTCACTGCTCCAGGTTCGACTGCACAAACTAAACACACTGACGCCTTCTCAACCAACCTTGACCACCGGGGCGGGGGTGGAAGCGTGCGGTTTGATTGACAAGGGCAAGTGGCCAATTGCCGAGCGCTATTTCTCTTGCGTGAAGCCCCCGCAGTGACGTGCGCGCGGTGACCAAATAGTTCCTTCCTCCAATTTCCTGTGATTCTTTTAAAGATGGGTTGCGTTAAGCGCTGGGCTAATTAGTGCTGCATTTGTTTACTCTCAGGCATGAATGTGATGGCTGTTGTGATAATAAAAAACTGAGAGAAATCGTTATGTTATGCGAACAAGGGAATTGAGCTGAATCATTCTCTTATATGTACTGGTATGGCCTGAAAATGATTGAAATAGCTTATATTGGTGACTAAAAATAATAAATGCAATGCTAAAGAAGTTATTTATATGCTACATGTTTATTTTACACAAAGTTCATAGAATATATACAGTGTTATACTATATATTTTTGTATATTTTATAGCTGTGCATAAGCCATGTAGTGTATATGCATTTTTTATTTCCTATCCATTTAGATAAAGTTTATTGTGTGTGTGTGTGTGTGTGTGTGTGTGTGTGTGTGTGTGTGTGTGTGTGTGTGTGTGTGTGTGTAAGTTTGTGTGTAAATGGGAAGTTAAAACGTATTTTTTGTTAACAAATTCTTAAATTAACTAAAACCATTGTTTGATTTGTATTGTTATTATTTTTATGAAAATACATAAAATAGGCTACATAAAATATTGTATATTATTATTAGCCAATTATTTATTCCACAGGTAACTCTACAAGGTCAGTGTTGATCCTGAGTAATGACCTCAGTCTACCTTAACAAGTTTCTGGGCGTCACTGTAACCTCACAGGGCTTGAGGAGTCGAGCGCAGAGGGGACTCTGACTGGGAAAATGAATGTCTTATTGCGTATTTTAAGACATCTTGCAAAGATTCAGACAACACACAGACTTGTTTCCTTTTTCGTGTGAATGACAGCGCTACAAGATTAATTCACGTAAGTTGCTCGTTACTTTCTTTGTCAAACTCAAAATGCTTACTAATTAGTTCAAACGCAGTGGACAGTCAATGTGCGAACTATAGAAAAAACACTTCAGAAAACATCTAGACATGCTAAAACATTGTTATTTTATCATTGAAATTGATTTTTTCTTCTTTTAAAAGTTACATTATTCTCAGCAGTCTATAAGCTTATTATCGTAAATCTAGCTGTAACATCAATGATAACAAAACATTTATGAATGAGCAAAAGTATGTCCGTTAACAACAGGTGACACACACGCAAGAACAGTTTTTCCTGGTCATAATTCACTTTTTGACAAGTTCATATGAGAATTGAGCATGAAAAACGCTGAATAACGGCCAAGGCTCGATAATTCTATGGTTGTTTACTCTTTCAGGTGCAGGTTTTATGTTTACGCTTGCAGGTGCAAACTTGTAAAACACCCGAAACTGAACTATAAATGAAGAATATTAAGTGTAACAGATTGGTATATGTTCCTTAATAACAAAATATATTTCGCAGCATTTGTCTTGAAACAAACATAAATGAGTTAAGCTTATTAATCGCATTGGCACGTCCATTTTTCAGACAAAAACGGCTTTGTCCTGTTTCTGATCTAGCTCCAATTCTCCTACTTAATATTGTTTTGCTTTCAGATTGCACAAGTTCAAACATGTATGCATCACATGTGCATGGTGCGAGCTATTTTTAGAATAATCGTGCGTTTTAATATACCTTGGTGTGTCACAAATGGGGTTTCCCCCCAAACAAATTAAAGTTTGTAATATTTATGTGAATATTAGCCTATATATTATAGACATTTAATAAAACACAAAACACTTTATTTTTGATGGTCCATTTGTGTATTAGTAGACTGTCTGCTTAATAGGCCTATCTGTTGATACAGCTCCATCAACAGACTATAAGAAACTTTGCAAGTACATGTCAACGTCAACTTACACTAACCCTAACCTAACAGTCTACTTCTTTAATGAGAATTAGTTGGCATACAGTTGAAATCAGAATTATTAGCCCCCTTGAATTATTAGCCCCCCCCCACCCCCCCCACCCCCCCCCCCCCCGCTTTTTTTTACTTTTTCCCCAATTTCTGTTTAAAGGAAATATTTTTTTAACACATTTCTAAACATAATACTTTTAAAAACTAATTTCTAATAGCCGATTTTATCTGCGCCATGGTGACAGTAAATAATATTTTTCTATATATTTTCCGCTGTAACAACCCCTGATGAATAAAGGGGCTAAGCTGAAGAAAAATGAATGAATGAATGAAATGTATTCATTTTAATCTACATCTAAAGCTTACATTTTTTTCACAAATTTTGGTTGAAATAACCCATCATTTTTTGATTGTTGGCATGCATATTACTCTAAATAAAGGATAACAGATGTCAGACCATTTAATTATTAATAACTACACAATACACAAATAATACAAATCTAACATAATGATGTGTGCATTATTTTCAAATAATTCAATTAGGGCCATTGGAGTAAATTATTCTGCTTGTGCTACGATTATCAAACCAGAGTAACTGTTCAGATGTTGTATTTCAAGACATTTGGCAGGTGCCACTGTTTGGACTAGTTTTTTTTCATATTTTTCCTCAAATGACTTCTGTTTTGATTTGTGATGGTTGTAGGCTATGAAATAACTTAAATAATTTGGTGTAGTAGGGTGACGCGGTGGCTCAGTGGTTAGCACTGTCGCCTCACAGCAAGTAGATCACTGGTTCCCACCAAGGGAAAGACAAGTGGTATAGGTGAATTGAATACACTACATTGTCCGTATAGTGTATGTGTTTTGATATGAGAGTGTATGGATGTTTCCCAGTGATGAAAACATAATAGTTTTAAAAACTAATTTCTAACTGATTTATTTTATCTTTGCCATGATGACAGTAAATAATATTTTACAAGATATTTTTCAAGACACTTCTATACAGCTTAAAGTGACATTTAAAGCCTTAACTAGGTGTATGTAAGAGTTTATGTATATTTCCCAGTACCGGGTTGCAGCTGGAAGGGCATCCGCTGTGTAAAATATATGCTGGATAAGTTGGTGGTTCATTCCGCTGTGGTGACCCCTGATAAATAAAGACACTACGCTGAAGGAAAATGAATGAATTTGGCGTAGTGATATAGAACTAATCTTCCTGGAACTACATCACCTGTGCATTTGCCTGAAAATAATTGCACACCTTTGATGTTCATCAGCCAATCTGAATCAAGCATTCAACAGCCATAATATAAATTAAAATACACAAATTTATCACAAAATGTGTGTATGTTAAATATGTTTGGCTGTGCAGTGCACGTTTGTCTGATTAACAGACTGCGCATAGATAATAAACCGGAAGACAATGCAACTTGAACTTGTGTCCTGCAGCCTGAGGTGATCCCAAAACTTTTCTTGATGGTTTAAAATATTTTCTATCTATGTATCATTTAGGTCATTATTTTCACCGTGATCTGTTCTGGTCTTCATCACATTAATGCCGAAAGGAATTTTCTCTGATTTTAAATCTGCTGCAAGTGGAGCACTTTCAAGTAGCCTTATTTTTGAACTAAACCGGTATGACTAATCCCTTCTGAAATGACTCAAGATTGCTTTGGCTCTTGAAAATAAAAGTAAAATCCAAAGGGCATGTAGTCGCTGATTTACATGCATTTGAACCACATGTTAATAAAAAAAAAAACATGTTTTGAGTCTTTTTGACATCACACCTTAATAATGTTCAGGAAAATCATATTATAGTCTAATGCTCACACCAGTGCAGATCACCATCATACAGACACACAAATAAACTTCTTATTGTGCATATGTTGCATCAGCAGAGCCCTAGTCATGGCAAGTGAGACCCGGGATCCTGCACTGCTGCAAGAGCCTTCAGTGTTTATTCTGGAGAATGGGGAGATGTACAGAAACCAAACAGAAGTGAAGATGAGCCAGATAGTCCTTCCCTGCCATGCAAACCACTGTGGAGAACTGAGCGCTGGGCAACTGCTCAAGTGGATGGATTCCACCGCCTGCCTGTCTGGTTTGTCAGGAGAATTTCTAATATTAGAAACAAAGTGCATTGCTGTTTGAGCGCATCCATGAGTGTTTTTATTTTATTTTATTCTTGACTTTTTTTAAAATAATTTAATTGTTATTATTATTATTATTATTATTATTATATTATATATATTCTGTTGTCAAACTAAGTCATTTCAAGTTGATTACGCAGTGCAGAAAAATCTTTTAAAGTGATCCAATTTCAGTCTTAATCATTGCTGTCAGCTCCAGAATTCATGTAAACTCCTCCACACCATATGCTTGTACTAAGTGTCATTAGAAATCACAGATGGAGGAGTCTGTACAGTTTGGACTATGATTTCCATCCTCTTAGCGTGAATAAACAGAGTAACGGGCTGGTGAGAAAGTTTATTAGCAGTTGGAACGATTTTTAATCGCATTTAACTGGTAAAAGGCAAAAGCATTTCTTCTGAGAATTTGGCTAAACCTTTGTGGCACTGTGAAAAGCACAGATGGTGGCTGGTAACAGCTTTGCAGGCATCTCTTAATGCTGCACAAAATGTTTGCGTTTCACTTTGTTCTGTAGCGCTGAACATTTTTTTTACTTCTTCTTTCAGATTCACTTGCACATTTGCTTTCGAGAATAACCTGTTTAAATACTTGCTAGGGGTGTAAACATTTATTAATCGTCAATATTTGCTCTTGTCCCCAGCTGAGAGACATGCTGGCTGCTCCTGTATCACAGCCTCGGTGGATGATATTCACTTTGAAACCACCATAGGGTAAAAACATTTACAGCAAGTAAGTGCAGTTTTTATATAATTACTAAAACATATTTAGCTGTTTTTTTGTTGTTGTTTTTTTAGGATTGGACAGGTTGTGAACATTACAGCCAAAGTCAACAGAGCCTTTACATCCAGCATGGAGGTTTGTGGGAACA